ATATAACATGTAATAAAATCTCTCATATACTTCATGTACATGGCCATTCAAGATCATGTTTTCGACGCCGATTGGTCTATACAAGGAAATCCCATTCCCGTTATCCCCGACAAACACGCACTCTGCCACACCACCTATCAGCCAATCAGCGAACAGTAACCTTGATCGGCTGATGGAGCTTCAAATCGATAAATCATGCATTATAACCACAATATAAAGGTCGAAAACTTCAAGTCACGTGCTTGGTATTTATGTTTATATTAAGAGTCTTATCTATTTCGGGTAAAGTGATATGATAAGAATCTTCTTTAAATAGACCAACAGTGACTTATATTTATCAGTTAGTATGGCCTATTGTCATTGACCACGTTACCGGCGAGTCCATGTGCTTCAGGCACGCGAGTACCGTCTGTGTAAATAGAAGCTAATCGCCATCTCTAAACTACACTCATGTAAGTAGTTTAAATTAGAAGTAGTTTGTTGTTTTATTTCCAAGGTAGTCACTGTATATATGTATAAATGAAAAAATATTCCACTGACATTCATCAGCATGTTAATTATTGATGCAGGCGGTTTGACATTGACTCGCTTTCCGAAAGACAAAAGTGTTCCGTTGAAAAACGAGGAAAAACAGATGTCTGTTTGTCTGTCGGTTTCATGACGCTGAGACGGAAACTAAATCTGTTACCATAGAAATACAGCGTTTGCGAAGTGTGGTGTGTGTTTGAAATATATAAATAAGTCTTTTTCGGATACAGCAGTGTGTTATAACGAGGCAGGGGGAAAGGCACACGCGAAGAACCGGTGGGTTTTCACGGTGAAGTTAGCTTATGGAAAACCACGGTGAAGACACTCTGTGTGATCATTGGGCTTAGCGTTTTCATTGTTATTCAAAACAGAGAATTAACGTGGCCCCAGTATTCCCGTAAAAAGTATATGTGGTTAAATGTAGAACCCTGCACTCTGTTTCACCTTGGGGTTCAGAAATTTAAACCACCTGTTGTCAATCGATGCGCCCCAACACATTTCATTGCCTCCTTATCAATAGTACTATAAACCAACGTGCGTGTGTGAGAGAGAGAGGGTGTGTGTGTGGGTGTGTGGCGGGTGTGTGTGTGTGTGTGTGTGTGGGGGGGGGGGGGGGGGGGGGGGGGGGGGCACACTGTTCCTGTATAATATTTCAGCTATTTTTCGTGAATAACTTCTCCTTAATGCCACAAGTTCTTCGGTGCAAAATATTATATAATTAGTTCTCTCAAACGTTAGTGGGGCGGTCGGGTATATAAGTGGTTAATGCGTTCGCGCGTCACGCCGAAGACCCGGGTTCGATTCCCGACATGGGTACAATGTGTGAAACCCATTTCTGGTGAAATTTCGGGAAATTACATCATTGAATTGACCAGATCACACACTGTTACTATGCAATAAGTCATTGTTTCAAAGGGGACTGGGGTGCCCCAATCGTTGTAGGCGCTGTAATTCGCTGTGCAGAGTAACGACCCTTGGGAACGCGAGAAACCTATGCTTGTGGGTTCGAATCTCGGTTCGTCCCGATTCTGTTTCTAGGTTTGTTAGCACCGTTCTCGTGCTCGTAGGTTTCACCAAGTGGTAAACGTCTAAGACCTTCCTTCACCCAACTCACTCACTCCCAGACAGCAAACCCCTGACACTGTATAACTGGAATAATGTCAACAGCCTTAAACCTCACGATTCCAACAATTCCTACTTTTGACATAATCCCCTGCAAGCTCCAGGGTAGACGCTACAGATCCCCAGAGGCGGTTTTCATGTTGATTTCATAATTGTTCATATTTGTCTACCCACAAAACATTAATACGCGTAAATATCACAAACGACATTTTCCTGCAGTGACATATCGTGACAAGCTTTTGGGAAATGTACAGTGACGTGTGTGTCTCGCGTGACCTACATCCGTCCACGCTGTCCGCTAAGGGTGATATATGTCTGCGACGCGCTGATGCGGGCTGTTGCCAGGAAGGGGTCAGCAGCTGTGTTTATATCGTTTACCTTTCTATCGCCAGGTTTCATTTCTACGAAACTATCTTGTTTGTTGTTTAACGCCGCACTCAGCAATATTCCAGCTATATGACGGCGGTCTGTAAATAATCGAGTTTGGGCCAGACAACCCAGTGATTGACATCATGAGCATGGATCGAGGGAGTTGGGATACGATGACATGCATCAACCAAGTCAGCGAGTCTGACCACCCGATCCCGTTAGTCGCCTTTTACGGCAAGCATGGGTTGCTGAAGACCTATTCTATCCCGAATCTTAACGGGATACTGAACTATAACGAGATTATTACTAATTGTTAAATTTAGGCAGATCTATGAGAGTCTTTACTTGAAATCTACGTTATAGTTGGGTATTACCGAACGTTTATTAACAGTTATAAAGTGAAATCCTCCCCCACGTGTCCTCCGTCGGGATGACGGTGCTGTTGCCGGAAGCGACGTGAACTAATACACTATTGACCTTTTTCACACTTTCGCCATCTTGGATCGAAAACGAGGCTTGGAGAGCATAGCTCCATGCAGTGAGAGTCGCATCAGCTCATAGGGAATAGACAGCATGTTGTGCATTTCACTGATGGACATTTCAAACAAACAAAAAATGGTATCCTCTGTATATAATACAGAAGATATTTCACATTAAATCATGAGGTCCAACTAAAATATGCCTGTTATACACTGGAATTAGCATTTTGCTGTCAGGATCCCGGAAGTGAATCGAAAGGTGCATTTCGAGATACGTATTTCAGAAATATTGTTTTATCATAACCTCGTCGGCATATAGGTACAATGTGACAGTACATTCAATGACAGAAGTTTTCTATCGTAAATAAACCGCATAACATGAAACACGTCAGTGTACTTTTGCAAAATTGTTCAGTCAATGCGTGGCTTGGCGAACTCTAGATCAAGATTGAGATCATGTTTATTTCACGTTTCATAGCGGTGTTTGCTGCACAACGCACTATCGTTTTGCCATGAGTCCAGTTGACAGAAGACACTTTTTCTGCTATGATTTTCATTTTAACATATTACAATGTTAATTATGAAAATAATTCGTGTGTCAAAATAAATATTCAGAAGGGGCGATAACCCTATTCAGTGTGTACAATGACAGATGATACTTTTCTTGTTCTTCAAACATCACGTACTTAACTGATTATTGCCGATTGAGATTGCACCGTGCACTACAAAAGTAATAATGTGTGAACTGTTTAAAATAAGTTAAAAGGAAACTAAAAATTGATAAATATAAATAATGCATGAAATTGAAGAAATATAAGAATTGATACAACTACCAACTTCTTGAACACCCTCCCCTAATCCTGTATGATGAAAGGTAATTGTATATCAAAAGGAAGCTACAAATACATTTATCCTGAATAGTTTGAAAATGTCTTGATCAGATATGAGTACAGATAAAATAACAAAAGATAAAAAGGAATCAACTTCAATTGGTAATCAAGCCAAGATAAAATATATTTATCATATAATGGGTAGGTTTCTCGGCAGGATAAAGCCAACGGATAAAAACGATATCCGTTGGGGTCATATGCGGATAGAGATGCAAATATCAAAGGTCAAGTAGGGACTACTTTCACTGTTTATAAACAATCATGGCGTCGCTGTCGTCATTCGGCGATCGAGTCAGAATTAACCATCGGGAATCTGGATAAACTACAGGGATAATTGCTATCATTATCAAAAGAATAGTCTAATATACTGAAAATCAGTGTCTAACTGTCACGTAGCTAAAGCATTTTATAAGTTTTGGCAACTTTTGAGATATATAAATTTCGAAACAATTTTGCGAGGGCACTGGGCCTAGCCAAGCGGGATCAGTAGCCATATCTGTGCTTGTCGACCTCTCCGGCTTGAAACTTTCTCCACAAATTAAAATAGTTGGATTTGGCCGAAATATGTTTGAATTGTTACCTTGTTTCGTTTTGTCGCTGTGTGTACATCTGACTACACTTCTTAAGGTTATGACAGGACAGACCGACTGTCAACAACGTCTGACCGTGGCCGTGACGTCTCATAGACTAGGGTTGGGTAGCTTCCCTTTGACAAAGGGCAGTTACTCTAGGGGACAGACCGATGGATTGCCGCGAAAGGCAATTAAAAACAATTGTTGCTTTGTGTATATGTTGCTTCGCCACTGTATAAGAAACAGATTTCAGTTAGAACTATATTGGCTATTGTCACTGTCGGACTAACACATCACTTACCCTGTGACGTAATAAATATTAATGCGCGCATTCCAGGAAAACTCGCAATGTTTCGGTAATGTTTGTGAGAGAGGGAAAGCGATTTTGAAACACGGAATTAAAGAATGACATTATATGATAAAGAGGTTATCACGCTTGTGTGTTTGGGGATGGTAAATATCCCGTATTAGGAATAAACACTATGTATTTAGCTCGCCAAGGCTCGCTTAATACAATGTTTATTCCTAATGCAGGATATTTACCATCCCCAAACACACTCGCGTGATAACCTCTATGTATCGGTACAAATTATGTTGATGGAACAATCTGGATTTCTCATATTTGACAAAGAAAAACAAACCAAAATTTTCATATCTTTATTTCTCACAATATAAGTTTTCAAAACTTAACATGGACTGGGTGTCTTTGTCAGTCAAAAGCACCTAATTAAATTCCAGGAGAAAATAATTTTCTTGCTTGTAAACAAATGGTACAATGTGCTTTTTCAGTGTCCGAAAATATTGGCCATGTTGATTTGTGAGTGAATAAGGCTTTTCAGTTCCTCGTCCTATTTAAGAGAAATGTGACAGGAACCACATTTGTTGATTGAATGAATATGGCTTTTCACTTCCTCGTCCTTTGACAGGATGCACATTGTAACCATTGTGTTACTGTCAGCAGAAAGCTCCTCCAGACATCCGTCACGGGATACTAGTACTTCATTGTGTTGACTCGCTGGCCTGAAATGAATAATTCTATTATATTGTAATAATATTCCTACTTCAATAACATTTTTTATAAACAATGTATATTCACCTTCTCTCAAAATATTGCTAATTTAGAAAACAACATTCTTCTGAAATAGAGAAGTTTAAGGAAAATTAATCACAGTGTGTAACATTACATGCTACATGTACTTTAGAACAATCTTGAAGGCATCAATTCATCTGATATGTCAAAAACTCAAACAGTATATTCTGTGTAAAGGGTAAACTCAACAGTTGCATCAATTTAATGACAGTGTACTACAGCTCTTTATATCAATGTCACACAGAAATTCACTCTTGTTTTAATGAAACACGTTTTGATATTTGTATTACCGGTATGTATTTAATCATGACCATGCTGAAAACATACTTTCGCTAGAGTGAAAAAAAATAAGATTTTTACTAAAATCAGGTGAAATATCACGTTTTGTCACACCTACAGTCA